GCAGTTTATACAATACAGTACTTACAAATGTTCAACAATAAAAAAAAATTATAATAAAAAATAAATAAAATGCTTATAAAAGTAATATTTTCATTAAATGTATTATTTACATTTTATGTCTATAGAAAAAACAACAAAAAAAAATTGGAGGGAATTTACATATTAAAATGAGACAAATATACATTGCAAGTTGTAATTGGTTTAAATTTTACTGTACACACAAATAAGATTCATGAGTGGATACCAAATAAAAAAAAAATATTTAATATCATCAAACATTAAAAAAAAAATACATTGTGATTAATGTTAAATAATAAAGTCAGTATAATTAAATTTAATTGGTTGACACAAATAGTATTTTCAATTTTATTTTAAGTAAATTAGAACTTAATATTTAAAGGCTTCTTTTGTTCTAAAAATTGATTACATTATTTATAGGCTGAGCAATAACAAATTCTTCAATCAAATCAACTTATTAATTTTAAAAAATTATAAAATTTTTAAAATCTATAGAAATGTTTTAAATTTAATGGATATAATAAATTGAAATGTAAAATAAATATTGTAAATATTGAAAATGAAATACTTAACTTTTGATTCAGCATTTTTATAACAACTACATTAAAAAAAAAAAAATGTTCATAATGTAAACATTTACATTACTTCAGTAAGAAATGTTTAATTTTAAATTAACATAATCAAAAAACTAAAATTCATTTACAAAATAAAAAAAATAATTTATTTGTAATTTGGTAATTTTGAGTAATATAACAGCGAAAACAAATCCATATATCATACTAAGATATAATAAAATAATTGTGAATTATATTTTCTAATTGATAAAAATATAAATACATTTCAACACCAACATTCTTAATTAAGCAGTTTTCCAAAACCAATCTAAAAAAAAAGGGGTTATAATTGAATAGTAAATCATGTTTAGATAAAAATCCATGAAATTAATTATATAACAGTAATAGAACAATAATATAATTTTTACTTATAAAATATATATTATTTTTCAATTGATAAGTTAAGATTTGTGCCAACCAATCAAGTGTACTTTTTTAACACATAAACCAAATTAAATTTTTATTTTTAATTCAGTGTTCTGGACAATAATAATTAAATCATTAGTTAACTGTAAGTATAATTTAAAAATTTATGTTAACTTTCAAAACTAAGATTTTTATTTAAGACATTTTATAAATATAAAATATACTTTAGATGTTACACTTATAATAAACAGAACACAAATAATTCTTATAATGTGAATCAAAAATGTATATTAAATTGGATTAACAAGTTAATAAAAAAAAAAAAAAAAGAAAAAGACTAGACTTCTAAACAAAAAAATCTTGCTCAACACATATGTACCCTGTGTTTTGGAAGAAATACTAGTCTTCATCAGACATTGGCTCATACTGCGCTGTTAACATGGATCCCACACCACTGCCGCCGCCTCCTCCTCCTCCTCCTCCACCACCACCACCACCACCACCACCACCACCACCGCTAGTATCAGATGTTTCATTATTCTTTTGTGTAGCTGATGCTGACATATTTATTGCAGCTGAAAATGGATAAGTGTAAGCCTGCTCATTTTTGTTGTCGTCATCGGAAGTGCGCATTACTTCAACAATCCGATTTTTTACATAATCTAGAGGTGATATTGGTATATCAGCTTGAGTTTGATAAAAGCGAACTCTACTATTATCATCCTTCATTTGTTGTTCATATTCCTTCTGTTGTAAAGCACGGCGTAGTTTCCATGTATGAGGTTCAAAGCCAGTGGCTAGCATATAAGGATATGGTTCTCCTGAACGGCCACTCATTTCAGGACTTTCTCGTGGTTTTGAATTTTGTTTTTCATTTACCTCTGGGAATGCCTAAAAATTAAAAATAACAATTAAAATAAAAATATGAAAAATTATGTTACTATACTAACAAAATATTTATTATAATGGAAATAATAGGACCATAAATGAAAAACTCATATTTACTACTATTATGATAAAATATAAATATTAATTAATATTAAACAATACCATTTGAATTATTCTTTTTATAGAAAGAAATATTTAGACTATAGATAAGTTAATAGGCATGCAATTAGAGTAAAACAACTTACTTGAAATAATTTATCACCAGCTCTTTGTTGTTGAATATGAGCTTGATTGTTGACCGGAGGAACATTAGGAGGATGCCCAGTTCCATCATTACTTTGATTTATTTGATGTGTGATAATGGCATCAATTAAATTGGCAGCAGTCAATGCATGTGATTCCATACCTTGTCTAGAAACTCGACCACTTACAGTATTATCTCTACTATAAAAATGTAAAATTAATACCCTGATATATTTAATTATTTTAAATAAAAACCAAAAATTAATTTTACTTTTGTATATTTGATTGTGGGTCTTGATGCCGAGATACAGGTGTATTAGATCTAGATTGTTGAAATGATGAAACAGTAGTTGGTATTTGCATAACTCTAGGTTGTTCTTGCTGTCGCTGCTGTTGAAATGAAGCAGCTACCATTCTTGAATGTTGTTCAGGAGTAAGACGATGATGCATCATTTGTTTATCCCTCATATATTGTTCTCTTTGTTGTTGCTCTCTGATTTGTGCTACTGCTTGCATTTCTCGTTCTCTTTGCACAGCCATCTCACGCTCTCTTTGTATTTGCTCATGCCTTTGTTGTTCTCTGTACATATGTTGCTTTGGCACAGGTGACCCTCTCATATAACGATCTTGTTCTCTATGCCTATCTTCAGAATGATTTAAAGGCACAGGTAAACTGGGCTGCCTAATTGCAACATCAACCAAAGACCCAAGTGCTTCATGTCCCGGAGGATAACTTTGTGGTGATGTTACTTTAGGAGCAGTATTATGACGTTGTATTACACCTTGCCGAGTTGGTTGATAATAAATTGGACTAGTGACAGGAGGTTTTTGAGCTCTCGGAAATTGAGCTGCCACATTAGAGTGCATTTGCTGAGAAGTAATATAGTCGTCCATAATAATTTGTCGCTGCTCACTATAATGAGGTTGTCTTGATTGGTACTGAGGTTGTGGATTGCGTTTTTGATAATAATCAGCATTTATATTTTGACTTGAATTATGTAGCATTCGCTGGTGTATAGGAGTGCCTTGAGTTATGGAACCAACTGGAGCTTGAGGCGCTTGAGAATATCGGTTTGACTGTGGTGGCATGTATAAAGTTGCAGTTGAACCAGAAGTACCATGCATAATAGAGCCAGTAGCTTTTGCATTATTTAATATATTTGGAGATAACTTTGAAGATACAGCATTTCCAACAGACAACTGTGGTGAAGTTACCTAAATAAAAATTATATAAACTAAATATTTTATCAATCAATTATCAATATTTATAAATTTGGTCAACTAACCTTATGTGGTATTTTTATATTATGAGAAGATTGCTTAACAGTAATATGGGAGACTGATTGTGATGGATGGACCATGACATGATTATTTGGCGGTGATATTTTTGTCCAATATAGATCACCTTGCTTGCCACTTCGTGCCAAATCAGCAAACTAAAAACATTAAACATAACTTAATAAAAATAAATATATAATTAATAAAATATGAGAATTTAAATAAAAAGTCTACCTGGGGAGAATAAAAAGTATTTGTTTCATGAATTTGTGTGGGAGGTGGTCTATACATTGCTCCAGGTGGTGGTGGTGGCTGAGCATGTTTAATTGGAGGTGGATCAGTATAAGAATCTCCATCTCTTGGTCTTTTGATACTTAAATCAAGAGTTACACCTTCAGGAACTCTAACATCAGACATTTTAGAAGATTGAACTTGAACTACAACTAAACCATCTTTATTATGAAGTTCCCTAGGTGGTGGAGGAACAACTGATATTGTTGCCATTGACTGTTGTTGTTTATTTTCATTATTGCTAGATGCTGTATTTCGATCTTTAATTGGATATTCAGGATCTAAAAGTATGGATGATATAGTTGGCATAGAACTATTTTCCTTCTGTTAAAAAAAAAAAAAACAAATAAAAAAAGGTTAAATAATACATTAAAAAAATGTTAAAATAAAATATTTACCTCTCGATTAGAAAGTTCTTTAGTAAATTGTTTTTCGATTACATCAGATAAAATATCTGATACGCTCAAATCAGATACAATTTTTTCTTTCTTTTCAGATTCATTATTGGAATGTTGCAACAACACATTAGACTCATTTTCAGCAGTACCTCCAATACCTTCATCTGCAGTTTCAGTAGCAGAACTATCATAATCTTCTTTGATTGCAGCTGAACGAATTGCATTTTCATTATCTAATCGAGTTTCTTTAGTAATCAATTTCACATGTGATGGACTTGATGTTTCTCGCATTGGTGATGTTTGTGGTAAAGTGTTCGTTGGTGATGGGGCACTTTGAGTATCACTGTCACATAATACAAGATTAGTTTCATCACAACTAGATGTACTAGACCCAGACTCTTCTTCATCTGTTAGAGCAGGCTTTTGTTCACTTCCGTTTGTCTAAAAGCAAATACATATTTTAATTTTTTTTTAAATATTATATTCAATGAAAAATATTACCTTTTTATATTCCTGTACTAAGAGGTCTAAACCAAGTTTTTTGCGAAAGCTAAAATAAAACTCCTTACACTGATAATGACTCTTATTAGGTCCAACTAATTTGCTTATTTCACTCCATCGGGTGCCATGTTCACGAATTCCTTTCTTCAATGCATTAGTCTCTTCATCAGTCCATCCATCTAAAGTATCGGTACTTATACTGTTGGAAGTCCCTACTACTCCCAGTGACATTAATCGTCTTTGAATACGATTAAAACAAGCAGAACAACACTTTGATGTTGTTGGTCCAATTTCTATATCAAAATAGGCTGAATTTAAACTGTTGGCTTATAAAATAACTATAAAATTTTAAATTACTCACGAAATTCTAAAGCAATAATATCTTGAGCAGTATTCCATTTGGCAGGTAATGGGCGTAATCTTTTAACTGGTCTTCTACTATTAGACTGAACAGTAGGACAAGATGGTAATGGGCAATATATTACACGACGATTTTGGGACCTAACCACTTTGCAACGGCAAGTATTACAAACTCGAGCCCCAGGAATAATATCTTCTGGCTTAACACCATATTGGGTAGCATCTGAAGGATTAAGTATCCTAGGACAAGCTACATTTTCAGCTTTACAAACTGCACATACACCTTTAGGTACATCTCCTTTCGATCCAGTTTCATCTAAATAATAAAAAAAATTAGTAAAATATTCATAAAAATTATAATTAAAAAGTATACTATAAATATTTATTCATATTCATCAATTTTTTAAACTAAAGTAATTTATTAAGTTTTACATGAAAAAAAATGCCTGTCTTATTCATCCAAATAAAATGCAATCTAGATATAGTTTAGATAAATTAGATGAAAGTGATACATCTCCACTTAAATATAAATTTTGAATGATTCTTTTAAAATATTAAAATGTAAATTTTTAAATTCTCTTAAAAAAAAAAGATAGTAAAATTTGTAACAGATAATGTAAATGATAAATGTATACATGAAATTAGTATCTCTCCCTTGTAATATATCAAAATTAAAGCAAATTAATTTAAAATATTATTTATAACTTAAAATAAAAATTTTGAAATTATAATTTTTATTTTTTATTTTATTTTAACTATAATTCAAAATGTATTGAAAGATAGAAATCTATAAAAATTTAAAAATTACAAATTAACTTGATAACATTTTTATTTCATATACATAATGAGTGTTTACATTAGAAGAAACTAAAAATAACAATGTACTTTTTAAAACAATAAAAATATTATATCACTGTTAAATCAATATATTCAAACTTTTCTCAAAATCTAAAAACAAATTCAAGCATTTTGAATGAATTTATGTAAAATCACATTAAAATTATACATTTCATCAGTTGCTGATATACTATAAGCTGTACAAAATACAGAATATAAAACTAACTTTAAAGAGAATATCCATAAATACATCACACAGTACAATAATAATGATGTTAAAAATGAAAATTGTGTAATTTAAAAATACTAATAGTAAATATATTAATTAGAAAAAACAAAAATCTATAATTATAAGCAGGGCACCAAAAGGTTTTTATAACGTTATGAGTTTAACATTAAACTATTCAAAAAAACGATTAAAAACGGATAACGAAATAGAAACAAAAAACGATTAAAATTAATATCAAATAAAAATGATGAAACTATTGATACATAAAAGAAATTGTTATTTAAAAATATTTATAATAATCAGTAAAATAGATTTGAAACATTATTTTTGTAAAACTGACTTAAATTACTAAATAATTTAAATAAAATAAATATAAAAGGATGTTTAAAACAGCAATAAATTTATCAACTAATGAAATATACGTAAGCATTACTAATTATAATTTATAAATAAGCTTTCTGAAATTATGTCGGATTGTCGGCACTGAACCCGTATGGCCTGCCTCATCAAAAATAATTTCAGTAAAAATCAATAAAACATTAGTAATACACCATACATATGTTATTAATTGACAATATATACATATTTTATGTGGTATGTGCATTTTATTGTTGTTGTATTACAAATATGATTGCTTTATTTATAAGTTATGAGTTATAAGAATTAAAAAAGAAAATATTGTTAATGGCAGGGGTGTATTGGTATACGGTGTATACCCATCAGCAGATTTTAGATTTTTAGAGTATACCTAATGTAAAATTATTTTACGGATATACCCTTCTAAAATAACTCGAAAACAAAAAATAATAATAATTCAATAGTTCATCAGAAAAAATTGTTATGAACTATGAAATTGATTGAAATATTTATCTGTTGAAAATTACAGTGTACAGTGTATTAAATGTATTTTGTTAACTGTAATGAATAACATTGAATAATAGTATGGAGTGTGGACATTCACCCCATAGTACTTAAATCTGCATCATGCAATTTATAATGCGCTGCAAATGTATATCTTGTGGTGTTATATTTTATAGTCTTAATAGAAGTTATAAACATGTAATTACAAAGGATTAATTAAATTTTTTTCTAACATATTGAGAGTAAAAAATTGTTGAGTGAAACAAGAAAATTTATTATAGGATTAATATCCATATTTTTTTTAGTGTGTACCCACAAATATATTTACCAATTCACCACTGGTTAAAGGTAATCTATATGTATAATATATTTTACTATATATTATATAGTATAATATTTAAAATGTGTTATGTTATTTTACATAGTATTGATTGGTAAATACTACATTTGAAAACAGTAGAGAGAAAAATGTTTAAATGTCCCATAACGGTAAACAATATACATTATTATGATTTAAGCCCTGGTTATAAGTATAATCTCATGATTACTATAATAAAACAAATTACTAATAAAGCAATCTGAGATACATGAAGAAAAAAGAAGATAAGAATAAAAAAATAAGAATTATTTTTAAATTAGGAAAGTAGTATAAAATGTTTTAATATTTAAAACAATTATGATCATAAAAATATAAATTATTATTTAACTCTATATATTTTAATTATAAATAAACACATTCCTATAAATAAAACAATTAATATTTAGTAATTTAATGATTGGAATTAATTCTATACTGTTTTGTAAATAAGACACTGTAATTTTCCCAGGGTCCCAAGAGAAAAAGGAATGTAAAACCAGCCCCTTGTGTTGATAATTCATAATTGAACAAAATTTTTGTATTCCATAGGGTATACAAATAATTGGAAAGTATAAAATGTTAGGTAAATACTTCTCATTTTTTTTTAGCCAAACCATTTATTTTATTTAAAAATGCAAAATATTAGTTGATGCATTATTGATGATGTAAAAAAACTAACTAATTTATTTGATTTTTTAAATTTTTTAATTAATGTTTTTTTATATTTCTTAGATAACTTTTATAAGACATTATTTTATAAGCCCCATTGAAAATCTTTTAATAATAAATGCAATTGCTTATATAATATTTATAACTTTAACATTTAAAAATTATAATATAATTAATATATAATACATATTATTATATTTAAATAACTAAACTAATAACCTCAAATTAATGTATAAGAAATTTTAAATGTATACAATTTTTATTTAGGAATTATTCTCCCAAAATGACAATTTATTAAGTAGAAATAATTAAATTATTATATGTTCATGAAATCAAATGTTTAATATTTGTATTTTATAAATAATAATGTAATATTTACACTTAAATAATGGTGCAATAATAGTTTAAATACAGAAATTAATTAGAGTTAAAGAAATACTCATGGGAAAACAAAGTAAACAGGGAATACAGGGATAACGAGGTAGTAAATATTGACGGATTGATAAACAGTTATAAGCTGAATTAAAATCAAACGGACCGGAAGACCAGCTAAAGAGAGCGCCTCTCGTCAACTAAAAGGGTCCACAAATTTTACCACGAATGAATATTTTAACAATCATCATTTTAGTCTCATTACATAACTGCCAACGATCATGTACCGTTTTATGGAACCCGATTTAACCATTTATGTAATGTCATTAAATAACAGATTGCGAGCATTTTTATCTCACCGAAAACTTCTAGCACAGTACAGTGGTTATTTTAAAACATTAGAGGATTGTGAAACAAATAAAATATTTATTCCTGACATTACAGATGATACATTTTCAATTATATTATCATATGTATATACAGGAATGCTAAAAATAAATAATATCAATATACATTCTGTTCTTTTAGCAACACATACCCTTCACATGCCACAAGCATCAGATATGTGTCGTCAATTTTTGATAACTCAAGATCAAAATATAATAAAACCTATAGCAAAACTACCATCATTTACAGATGCTTCAGTAATTCAACAACCAAATGAAAATAGAACATTAAAAATATCGGAAGAATCAAATTTCAAACCACCAATACGTAAGGAAAATATTATTTTGGATATAGCAAGTTGTGATGGACCAGTTAAATTTTACAGAGTACTTAACAAAAACTACAAAGGTGATGAAAGGAAATCAGCACAAAAGCAGTCTTATAATTGCAAATACTGCAATCATCCATTTAAAAGTAAGTACTGTTATGAAAAACATATTAATAGACACTTAAACATCAATTTGATGACAAATAAATCAGGTAAAAGAAATAATACTTCTATTCAATATTATCCATGCAGACAATGTGGATCAAAATTTCCAAGTTATTACTTTGTTCATAAACATCAAAAATATTGTAAAAAAAACTAACTAATAATATTTTTAAAGATATGATAGTAATATGAAATATTAACATTTGTATATTGTATTAGAATAAAATATTACTTACGTTGTGAATCCATTAGTTCTTCATCAGTTGTACTCGTATTTTCTCCTTTTAGTTTATCATCTTTTCGTCTTTCTTTCTTTTTTGATTCCGATTTTATTTCACTAAAAATCATTGATATTAATAAAATTTATGAATTTATGTACATTTTACTATATAATCCTTATGATTTTATTTTAATTACATTTTTTTTTTTAATTTTATATATTTTTTTATAATTTTAAATTTTAATGAATAAGATGCCTTTTAATAAAGAAAAATGTAATAATATCCAATAATATGTAGTTAATTGACAATTGAAAGTAAAAATTAGAAATGTTTAGGATTTAATGTATTTAAAACTATAATTATATTTGAATGTGATAGCATATTAAGTAGTATCTATATGAGTAAGAATTATTAAAGACATTTTTTTATATTTTTCTTGTATCTATTTTAATATTATAAAATTTAATCCAACACATAGGAATATCATTATACAATAAAAACAAAATTATTTATATTTATTTAAATAAAACGTTACTTCTTCTCTTAAAATAATTATTAGTCAACAATGTACTTGTATTTTATCCTTATTTATTAATTTAAATTGAAAAATTGTATAATTTTACAGATTTTTATCAATAATTATAAAACATATCATTATAACAATAAAGTTTGAAATGTAAAATTGATTTATATTTACCTTATGTGTGATGCAACAGATGTTTGTATTAAATTGTTAACAGATTCATTACTTTGATCATTATTGATCTGTTGATTTTGAGTTTCAATGTTTACACCTTGTTCAGTAGCAATAACAACTTCTGTAGACACTGGAGTTTCTTCACTTTCAGGCATTGCATTTTGAGCTGCTGAAGCCTGTGCTAAATTTGATGATGCTGCTTCACTACCTTGACGTTCTCGTTGAAGTCTAGTAGTCACTCCAATGGAAGTAGAATTTAAAATATCCAATGAATTCAATGAGCTACTCGCAGGAGTTCGATTTTGAGCAGTACGACGTCTTGCTTGCCACTTAGCTTTCCCTAAAAAATGTATTTATAAATAAAATTTAATCAAATATATTTAATTAAATATCAATACTAACGTAGTAGTCTTTTATACTCTTCTTTTGGTTTACTAAGGTAATAATATTGTACGCAATCAGAAGGGCATTTTTTATCCAGATAAGATGCAATTGCACCAAAATTCTTAGGATGAGCAATGAAACGATCTTTAAATACGTCTTTTTCTTGTTGTGTCCAAATATTGACATATTTCCTTTCATTGTATTCTGTTTTGTAATCCAACACAAGTCCATTATTATTCAAATAAGTTAAATGCCGTTCATGTGGATCTAACATAAGAGGTGGTATAACTGCATAAGACCTCATTTTTTTATCTTCCATCTAAATTTATTAATATTATTAAAATTAATTCAACTAAGTCTAAATCAATTTATTTTTTAAAAATATGTACCTCTTGTTCTTGTAACCCATCCATGATTTCTTCTAAATCAGCTTCACTTTTAATACGAGCTCCAACTCTATTAAATCTTTCTTTGTCTTCACGAGCTTTCCTTAATTCTGGAAATACTTTTTCAAATAATTCTCGATGTTTGGCTTCTTTAGCTTTACGTTTTTGTGAGCTTTCAATTTTTTCCACCCTACGAATCCAATCTTTATAAAGTTTAGAGTAAGTTTCATTAATTTCAGTTTTTTTTTCCTGTTGTTCAGTTTTCTTTTTCCTAAGATGCTCTAATAGTCTGGATTTAAATAATGAATACCTAATAAACAAAATTTAATATTGAATTATGATAATGATAATGTATAAATAATGTAAGTTATATCAAGATATTAATGAAAAATAGCTATAATAAATCAAATACATTTATAATATAAAAATGGAATAAAGTTATTAAGACTTTTTTATATAAGGATATCACACTAATCTAATACATGTCATTATTGTTTTTACCGAAGTTTACAATACTAAATCATGTATGTATAATAAAACTATAACGGAGTTTATTATTTGTCAAATAAAAACAAAAATAATAATTATATATTACATTAATTCCAGTCAGAAGTTTAGAACTTAAAAAAACCTTCCAACTCTTAACATAAAAAAAAAAAGGAATATATTATTTTAATTTTTGGTACTAATTTGACACATTAAATGCCTTACAGCTGCCAACGGCCATAATATTTTTTATTAAAACGCTGTCAGTTATAATGGGTGGGATTCCTGAAACGCCTTAGTTTAACATAATACATTATAGTACAGGTTATTAATTCAGCAACGAAAGAAAAAAAAAAAGAAATTTTAATATTTTAAAAAGGAAAATAACATATCAATTTAGAATTAATTTTCAGTTCTAAACTATGGTAGAATTGTATAAAGCAGAAGCGGCCTAGTTTTTTCGGCCACAATCTACTAAAAATATACTTCACCTTTGAAGATAGACTTTTTTTGGAATATTTTTTTATAAACCAGAATAAAAGATAAAAACTATACAGATAAAATTTATCGACAATTTGTTCATAACCACCACAATTAATTTTTGTGTACGTGGCCTAAAAATAAATTCTAACATGATCGACTCTGAATTCGTCCGCAATCGACCGTTTGGCTGCCCCTGGTATAAAGCATAAGTATAGTGCCAAAATATTTATACCAATTTAAAATAATATACGACATACGGCAGCTTCCATGAAATAAGTTACAGCAGGTGATGGTCTAAAATTTGTCATTCATAACTATCACATTATGGCTCTTGGTGGCTGTATGGCAGTCAACATGTTAACAATATTTTCTATTCTGATATTCATTTTCCAATAGTAAAACTGTATAAATATTAATTTACTTGAACAAAAATTAGATATATTAATTATTGAACATACTATTTAATTACTTCACATAATATACATATATATGAATGTTAAATTATCATTTATAATTTAAATATAAAAATGATTTTTTTCAAGCTTAAGCTTTTCATGAATATAATTTGATGCATATAGAACGTAAGACAATACATTTATTTATGAAACCTCGAAGGTTTTTGAAATTCAAAATTACTTCAACAAATAAATATACATTTAAAAAATATATATATATATTTAAAATTGCATTATAATTGTTAACACGTATATTTAAAAAAAATAATCTTAATTCAATTAAAAAATTATTTAACACGGTTAACATTTTCTAAAATATTAATTTGCTTTAATATCAACAATAACAAAACTGTAAAGTAATTTAGTAAAACCATACACAAGTATACTATACTATACTTGTATTACATTGTATACAATGACCTATTTTTGGAATCGGGTAACAGAACCTACTCATGTACTTTACTTCATAAAATTGTACTTATATTGGTCAAAAAACTATAAAAAATGTAAATAATAAAACAGAACTACTTAATAAAACCAAAAATAAATTAATTTAACTTTATATTTAATATAAATTCTTACTTTCTTCTGTTTTCGTGATAAACAGCAGCATCTGATGGTTGATTATATAAGGGCTGAAAAAAAAAATATATATATATATTTAAGAAAACAAAAAAATATAAAATAGTTTATTTATAAACTGAAATTTGACTTATTGTCAATATTTTGTAAATATTAACACATTATAAAATGAACAAGATAATGAATATGTTTTTTTTAAATTTATCAAATTTCTTGGATTATAGTTCTTATTTATTAAAATAAAGTACACTTACAAGATCAGTTTTGTTTGAAAATTTTTCTAAACTCATTCTTGATTCATATGCTTTTTTCTAGAAAAATATTAAAAAATTACAATATTATAATTACAAATTTAATAATATTTTAACAGAGATAAAATAGTTAGTTCATACCTTCCTAAATAATAACATTAATATAATTATTTTTAAAGGTTAAAGTAATTTATTGACTTAATTCATAAAACAAATTCACAATGCATTTAGGTTTACATACAAAACTGAAAATATTTTCACAATTATTTTTATTTTTATTAGTTATTTTTTATACCTATTTCAATATAATTCCTATCATACATATACTATTATAAATACTAACATTCAATGAGTCATATACTAAATACATTTTCATCTTAATATTTGAAATATTTATGACACTTAGTCACAGTGCCAGGTTAAGGGGGGGGGGGGCAAAGGGGCAGCTGCCCTGGGTGGCAAATTTCTAGGGGTGGCAAAAACATAAGATTAAAAGTGTTCTAAAATGAATGTATAAAATACTAATAGTGTGCAACAAAGTATGAATTGGAATGGTCTTATAAAAGAGTTTACGGCACAGAAAGCTAGAAACAAAATATAAATTTCTAATATTTAAATGTTTATAAAATGTTTGTACTAAAACTACATTGTAACCTTTATTAGTAAAGTTTTATTAACCAAAAAGCTACTGGTGCTTTATGTAACTTTTTTAAAATTTATATATATTCATTTAACAATTTTTAATGTTGAGACAAATTTTATTTTTTAGAATGAGTACAAAGATACAAAGGGTATTGAGGGGTGGCATTTTAAAATCTGCCTCCAGGCGGAAAATTTCTTAATCCGGCACTGCTTAGTCACATACACTTGTGACATATTCAAATATATTTTTAAACTTTTAATAATAATAAAATTAAAAATGATACTTATTATATCACATATATATGCACTTTATTCTATACATTTTTACTACTAAATTATTAAGTAAAACTATAATTTTTAAACTTTAATTAATCTTCATTTTACATAAAATACATTTTGTCATAATAGTAATTAATTTTTATCAAATATCACAAAATTAGGAATGCAGTTTTTTGTAAGTGTTAAGCAAATAAAATAAAATCATTTTTAAGAATTTAATAATTAAATTATATAAAATTTGAATGTTTAACTATCAATATTGTTGATGTATTACAACCTTCATTAAGAACATAAGAAATAACATACCATTAAATTTAAATATTTTCTTTAATTTGTAAAAATAATTTTTCTTATATCAATCAAATTTTAATAGTAATAAAGAGTATTTTTTTTTTTTTTTTTTATAATATAAAATGTAATGTATCTAATATTTTAATACAGTAAGTAAATTTAAGATAATACAAAACAAACACGTAGGCAAAGCCTACTAGTGTGTGAATCCTCTTAGGTAATATTTAAATATTTAAGTATTAAAAATAAATTAGATTATATGATTATATAATCATAATTTTTGAAAGCTATTTATAATTAACTTTACCCTGTTTGAAGCGTAAATTTGCTGAACTGGAGTCAAATATAACATTGGATCTTCTTCTACATATTCTTTTTTTGTGTCTTCTTCGGGTTCTACTTTAACAACTTCTGAATTTGATTCTTTTTGTTCATAATTTTCCTAAATAAAAAGAAATATAAAATTAATTATAATTATATTAAAAATACATAAAAAAATTATGTTATAAAATTAATTTATACTTTTAACTTAATCAAGTCTTCAATTTCTTGAGTGATATTATGAATATCATTTTCAATTTTATTTAATTTTGGAGCAATGTCACTAATTTTTTTATACTCAGGCATTGGTTCATCAATGGTTGGTGATATAGCTTCTACTTGAGGGTTATATGCACTTGTAGAAGGGGGGTCCTGTAATTCATAATGCACTGTTATTAATGAAAAAAATATATATTTATACATAAATAAAATATATATATACATATATAAAAGATAGAAAATAAAAATATGACAACTATATTAAAAAAAATAGTAAATATATCAAATATTAGTGATACATTATAACAATTAATATAATTAAATAGCCAAATATGATACATACCGATATTTCAATTTTAAGAGGGGGTTGAGGTGAAATTGGATTTAGTTTTGGTTTTTTCAAAGGAGGTGGAGGACCATGATCAGGTCTTTCTCTCATGAAGTTCATAGAAACAGTGTTATGAGAGTTGTGACTCAATGATTCATCTCGATAATGTTCCATTCTAAAAAAAACATAATTGTATAATATATATTTGTAACCATATTAATGTAGAATAATATAAATTAATAAATAATAATTAATTTAGACTTACTGTAAACGACTTCGTTGGTAATAATCACTTGTTGCTGACAATAAAGATATACGATTTTGCCTTGCTACAGTAGGCATCATATCACTTCTTCCTAATTCAAAAGGAACACCACTTAATGTTAATCCTCTTTCAGATATCTAAAAAAATAAATTACTTATATATTTTCTTAATTTTCCTATTAATTAATATATTATAGTAAGATAACTTTAATTTTATTCCTAAAATGTAATAATTGAACATTGAAAACACTAAAATTTAACAAAGAAATAAAATACACATAAACTAACACAATAAAAATATATGATTAAAAATAAATAATAATATTAATATAAAATTAAGTTAAAATTCAAAAAATGTTTATATGTACTTAATATAACTTACATTTAATGCTCTAGAATGGAAAGGTGCATCTCTATAAGCATTTGATGCTGTGGTTGTAGCTGACATGTATACAGGTTGAGAAACATATCGTATATTAGCTGGGTACCCAACAAAATTATTATGCACAGGGCCAGTACCAACAGAAGATGGCTTGTAAGGGCCGTTGTCTCCTGGTACTTGAACTACCCCATGGTTAACATTTCTTCTACAGAAAAAATTATAGTAAATTATTAATATTTGGCATTAACATTCATTCATTTTTTTTTTTTTTTTTTTTAAATAATAAATAAAATACATAAAATATAAACAATTTTGTATTAATGGCAATATTACTTTACGTATAAATACATAATTTAAAAGATGACTTTTGAGAATCAAAAAAACATTTTTATTAAATACAGTAACCCCTGTCTAATATAAGACCTAAATAATATAGAAACCTGTCTTTTATGGAAAAATTATTCAGTCACGACGACTCTAAAACATTTTAAATAAATCATACCCTGGATAAGATGGAACTTGTCCAACGTGAAAATAGAAACAATATTTTTGTCATATACCTGTTTATCATAGACATACCTATTTGAAAATTATCAAGTTAATAAATATAATTTATATTGATTAGAATTATTTTGTTGCCTACATTTATTTTTTTGTTAGTGTTGTAACTTGTAGTAGTGTTTTGTAACTAGGCTAATGAACTCATAGCACGAAAAAATACCCAAATATGCATGTAAACATGCACCAAAAAATAGCCAAATATGCTCTAAAATATGGATCTAAAAATAACCATATATACGCTAAGATAAGCCCAAAAAAAATTAAGTATAACAAATATGTGGTCAAATAAAAAATATATTTTATTACAATTTATAATATAATGAATACTAAACAAGTAATGAAAATTATTTAATAAAATAATATATATTATCGGATATCGCCTTTCAGACCCCTATAAATGGTCGATACAGATTTATTGGATTATTTATACAATCACAAAAATCATAAGTGGTAGTTTGTAGATAACATATATATTTTTTATTCAATTGGTTCAAATATGTACATATAGTTATAACCAGAGCTCATAACTTATAGCATTTACATTTTTTTTTTTTTGAGAGATTCTAGAAATACCTAAGTAAGCTGTACATTTGTTTTAGATAACTAAGAAGTTAAATGCAAATTTTATGTTGTATATTTTGCATATTTCAAAGTATAAGTGTTATTTTGCTATTTTACTTTTTTTCTATTTTGCAGACTTATTTTTGCATAGTTGGAAATTTGTTATTTGCTATGTCTTTTTCAGTTTCTTAGCATTTAAAACATTTTTTCTTAATGATAAAAAGTAATTATAGCAGTATTAATTTTTATATTTATAATTAATTTATGTTAATTAACTAATTTTTCTTCTTTTGGTCTAAATTATTTATTTATTTGTATCATATAGCAACGCGATTGGAATTTTAATTATAGAAGTTTAAATTTTTTTTTTTTATACATAATGTTTTTTTTAGATAAGTGAGAATTGTTTTTTTAATAATAAATGAAAATTGTGTTTTTTTTATGATAAATATTTTTTGTATATTTTTGTATTTTTAGTACATGCATGTGTAAGCTATTATATGAATATTTTTAAGAGCATATTACAGCACTTATAACTATTTTTTTTAGAGCTATAAGTTATGACCCTTAGTTATAACTTATAAATCTAAAAAAAAGTTTTTAATTTTAAAATTGAAAAAATTGTCAAAATATGCAAAATAAACATAATAATTTTAAAATAAGCACATTTCTGCAAAATCTATCAAATATGCAAAAATATGCACACTTAAATTTTAGATCTGATATCATGACACTGAGAAATGATTTTATTTTGCACTCTGCTATTTTTAACCATAATTAACATAAGTATGCATGCAAATGCTAGAAGTCCCTAAGCCTACTTATACAGCTTCGGACTATATTAAGTTTTTGTATTTACATATTTTTTATATCTTACCTACTTTTTTTTTTTAATACATAACTCAGAATGTCAAAAATCAATAAATGGTTAACTTTAAATGAAAAATTAAAATTAATTGAATCTAGTTAAAAAGATAAATTATCAGTTAAACAAATTTGTAATTTTTAACTATATATGTATAATAAAGTTAGTAAAATTTAATAAATAATAAAGAAGTATATATAAAATAAAAAATATTTATCATAACTTTTTTTTGTCGAGCTGTATTAAATGGAAACCTATCTAAAATGGAAAAAATATTTGGTCCCAACAGTTTCCTTGTTATACAGGTTTTCCTGTATTACAGTAAGCAGAACTATGGGTTTGGCAAACCTGGGATCTCCGAGCTTTGAACTGGCCTTAATTGGTTGGTTCAGCCTGATTAATCAGCACTGATCTAATATCTCAGCCTTGTAAAAAAAAAAATAATGTGCAAAGTTACAGAAGAGCAAACAAGAATCATTATCTTATAGTGATGGAATTAATTCTGCACAAAACTATTAGTAAACTAGACATTAAAAAAGAAAAACCAAAACATTTTAATAAAAAAAAAAAAAATTAAAAGGCCCAAATAAATAACAAATTTATCAATCCAAACAAAGTTTTAGGGAAAACGAAACCTCAATGCATGACATTGAAACTACTTGGACAAAGATAAAAGCTAAAGTGTCTACAGCTAAATGATAAAAAAATTAAGAAACCACTATTTTGACCCAACATTTCAAGATGCTCTATTAAGAAATATAAACAAAACACATTACAGATACTAGAGAATCTCACACAATAAAATATTAAAATGTATAAAGATATAAAAAACACAACAAATAGAACAATAAGACAATAAAAAAAGGTAAATGGAAAAAACATTTTAGACTGTATTGAAAAATATTAAACAACCTTAGGCTATTTTTTAAGCAATAAAAACCATAAAAGAAGTTAATTAAGTGTGAAACTGTCCCATGATCGACGATGTCAGAAACTTCATAACCGAAACTAAATCTATATTTAATATTACAAGGATACTCCATGAAAATACTGAATGACAAGTATGCATTGAAAATAGGTGACAAATTCAAAAAATCAAATATCATACAGATGAACTAGAACTTAGAGAACCAGATCAAGAAAAAACTGAAGACATAGAACTCATTAAAAAATAACAAAATACTAGGGAAGAATAAAAAATTAGGAGCTCCTTAAAATAGCAAGAGTAGGTACTCTTAGTAGCACAAATACAACAAATAATTAGCAACATATGGAACAATGAATATATGCAAAAAGATTGCAATTATGATAATTTTTCCAATATTTATTTACATTTTTAGTAAGATAAATTACTTAAAGATAGACAATTATAAAATGATAGCTCTTCTTGATACATGCTACAAAATACTATCCTTAGCAGTTTTAACAATATTGGAAATATATGCTACTGATATGATCAGATAATACCAATGTGGCTTCATGAGAAGGAAATCAACAATGGACCACATCTTCATTATAAGTCAAATTATAGAAAAAATACTATGAACACAATAAAAACCTACATATGCTCATTGTAGACTTTAAACAGACACATAAATAGGTGTTTATTGTTTTTTATAAATAATCTTGATTTTATTTTGATCAACCTAAATATATATATATATATATATATATATATTAGGTTTATTCCAACACGTGGTCAAACTATCATAGAACTGGTGAGAGCATGTGCAGTATAATTTTTTCATTCCAACACACCCTAAATGCAAACTCAAACTATCAGATGGTTGTTTCAATTTGTCATTAGACCAGTTTTAGGATTGGTTGCTAACAATCAAAACAGTCTGCTGATTCCGATGGGGACTAATATTCAGAGAAACTATTATTATCATATTTATTGTTTATGTTATCAATTATTCGCATTTGAATTTTCATGTAACGTTTATTAAAATAATTCCTTTTAAAACTACTTTATGTATAATAAAATAAATACACTATAATTATAAATATAATATATTTATATATATATATGTCATAATAAGTCTTCTGAATTGTCAATATCGCTCATTGTATTTTTATTAACAGCAATAACAACAACACACCATAGAAATATAAAAACAAATTAAAAAAAAACATCTCATATCTTAGTATACACAGTAGAAAATCAAATAAATTCTAGTAAAAATATGGGTCTAAATATAAGTTAAGATAAAACCAAATATTTAGTAATGTACAGAAGTGTTATAAACAAAACAAACCTTAAAGTTGGATCATATCACTTTGAGCAGATTGAAAAATTCAAATATTTGGGAGGAGTTAATATCAATGAAAAGATTAACATATATAATGAGATACAAATATGGATAAAAGCAGCGAACCACGCACACTTTACGATGAATCAAATGTTAAGATCCAAAATGTTATCAAAAAAACATGAAAGAAAAACTGTATACTTGTTACTTGTGCTAATTGGCAATGTACACACATAAGACCTGGTCTACTATGCAAAGAGATGAAAAAACCTATACAAAAAGGAAAACATCAGAAAATTTTTCGAGACAAAATGACTTGGATGGTCATCTGTAATAAGTTGATGGAAGCTTTATTTGCAATTAGGATAACAATAGAAACAGCTTGAAAGACTTAGTATTAGAAGCGGATTAACGACCTACTAAAATTTAATTTAAGTATAAAATAAATAAACATTTAAAAAATACAAATAAGACTTATAATTGTAAAAAAAATTAGGAAAACATAGTTGATAACAAAATGGTTATATTTTTAAACCATATTTTAAATATAATTAAATGTTATACCCATGAATTTGAGGATTCCTTTGAGAATACGCCATTTGAGCTTGTGATGGCATGGCAGCACGGTCCAGATGTATTACTGTTTGCTGTACAGCTTCCATAACAGTTTTAACTGGACCAAAGTTCTTTATTTGCCACTAAAATGAAAATAAAAGATTATTTTATAATGATGGTAATTTGATTAACATTAAAAAAAAGCACAAACAATTTTTTTTTACAAAATATATGGAAATATTAGAAAATAGCTAACATAAATTGGTTAATCATAGAATTTAAATATGCTAATACACATTTAATAAATAGAAAAAATATATATTTATATATTAAATGCACAAAAGTATATTATACATTTTCTTCAGGTATTTTACAACTACATACAAATTTGTGTATAATTCAAAACTAAATAAAAAATGTATGTAGTTGCTAATTTGTTAATTGTTTTCAAGAAATGATACTATTAAATAAAATTAGAATTACTAACATAATTAATATAATTAATCAAAACCAAAAAATACAAAATAAAATAATTGTATATCTGATATTGGAATGAAAAGTAGTATTAAAGCAACATCCCTACAAATCTAAAATAATTTTTTATTTAACTTTAAAATTTAACTATAATAGTCATTTTGTATCTTGAATCTATATATAAATAATGATTAACTAAGGATAGCTATTTTACTGTAATGGTTATGTGTAATGTGCAAACAAAGGCGAGAAAAAAAAAAAAAAAAAAGGTAACTATTGCTAATTAAGATATACTATTGCTAGTATAAAAAGAGTAATAAATAACATGAAAAAATAATGTAGGTAAAGATAGTTACAAAAATAAATTATTATATTAATTAATTATTTTTAAATAAAAAACTTTTACTAACATCTAGAAATTGAAATAACAATTTTTCTATAAAAAGAAAAAATTACATGTAATATAAGCTATACAAATACTAAAAATGTATTAAAATATATTTTCAAATATATTATAAAAAGGTTATTAATTTTATAAATAAAAAACATTTGAAGTTTTTATTGATTTTATACTTGAATAACATTTTTTTTGGACATAATGTAATAAAATCAATGCAGTATGCATATAAAAAACTTTGTAAAATAATATTACACAACATTAATATTAACAATCATATTTTTAATGTTAATAATAATTTAAATATTTTAATGAATTAGAATTTGGTATCAATTGGTATATTTATGTGGCTGGATAAATTCTCTGTTAAAAATTACATAATATTTATATCTTATGAATTAAATTATTTTTAATTTTCATGTTTTCCAATGTTTCTAAAATAAATTTAAATATTTAAAAATATTCAATTAATATAGTAATTAATAAAATTCAATAAATTATTCATTTTAAACTACAATAATATATTTTTGTAACTTTGTAGTGATTCTTATATTATTTAAGCTAAAATTGAGTTAAATAACATAAATACCTACTAATGGCTTTTTGTGACAAATATTAAAAGAACTTTGTTTATTAAGAGTACCTTTATTTTAATAATGATTAAATAACCATGGATATATGACAAATAATGATGAAAATGCCTACATAATGTTCAATCCTATTCTTTACCAGAAAAAACTTTTAGAAACCCAAACCACTAAAAACAATAAGAAAAAAATATTGTGTAGATGTACCTTCTACTAAGACAATAATGCTGTCTAAAATTAATTCTACTATATTAATTTAAAAAAATTGGCATTAAAACTAAAATTATAAAGTTAAATCTTAATATAAGAATAAAATATATTCAGTTTCATTTATAGTAGGACAATATTAATTAATATTTATAATAATTAAGTCAGAAAAAAAAACATTTAAAATAAATTTTTCTTATGCATCTGCATTTAATAAATTATTATTCAATAATTTGTTGAAAATTTATTTTAAAATGTTTATTTTAAAAATTATTTTGGCGATATTTGTAAACCCACATTGAAATTTATTATGTATATTAAAATAAATAAAACATAAATATTAAAATAATATGAATTTTAAGTAGTATTGTTCAGTAATAAGTTAATTTAATTTAAAAACTATAGAATGCACATATGAACTCAATATAAGAAATAAGATAAATTTCTTATCAATAATAAAAATTCACTTTTAACTAACAATATAATATTCTAAGATAATTGTTATAATAATATCAATAATGTAAACAAAAACATTCTAAATCCTAATATATTAAAATGTTATTATTATATTTATTTACTATAACCAATAATATTATTATTAATTATTTACATTTTATAAGTTATAAGAATATCTCGTCAAATGTCTGGGAAATATAAGATTAGATAGGTGTAATAATACCAGAGACCAGATAATGGTAAAATTAAAGGAAGTAAACATGATGTAATACAAATGTCACAAAACACATGCTGACATCAAAGTACTTAATATGAAGTAAAGCAAATAAAATAAACATGAAGTATTATAAATTATATTAATTAAGATAACACAATGAAAAACCATAATGAATATTGATTCTGAATATATTATTATTCCCAAAATACACAGAAGTTTGTTTATTTTCACATAATACAGTGTATAAGTAAAATTTAGAGTATACATAGGTATTAAAAAATTAGATTAATTCATGTTTAGGCACTTCATTCCTAACGGACGTTATAACAATTTTCCTAATTACTTAAAAAAACTGAGATAATATTGAACGAAATTTTCAATTTCCTTAAAACTTAAGATTAAATAATAACATAATATGTAGACATCATGTACCTACAATATAAGACCTAGTATACTACAACAGCACGGATATTTATTAGGTCATAATGGACGGACCACGTGAAGATAAAATATCAACGCCTATGACCAAAACCGATTAATAAAATATGATAGTGCAAAAAAGGATAATTACTTTTTGTTTTTCAACTAGAGTGTCAAATCCGCATGTCGGTGGTGTTGAAAATCTGATGGCAACGATGGGATACCGATTTCCAACAGACACATCTGCACCATTTTATTCAGACCACGCACAGTACACTACTCTTTACGATGCGATTGTGCGCACACGAAAAGCATTTATCACTCGGAAATAAATATTGAAGTACGGTATCGGATCGCTGACATGCTACGGCACTATGTGATTAAAAAATCGAAACAGTGAGATAGAAATTTTCAAAATTTTTTCTTTCTCATTTCGGCTGTTATTATTATTGAAATCCGCCTACAAAAAAAAAAAAAAAAGTTCTCCGCTGAGGACACGGTCGTCGTTAGCTCACATCAAACGTCTCTAAACAGGTTCGGGTAAATCCAAGCGTCCGCTTCGGGTGAGGTAGAGTACCTCGGTCGATCCCACGGTATTCGCGGCGCCAGTAGGCAAGGAGCCTGCCGATCCGTGGAAGGGGACGCTTCGGTCTCCAACGAAACAAAACACGATGGATTTGCCGAGTTTGCAGTCCGGCACAACAGTACGATAATTATGGCACCCGCGTAACAAAGCGGTACGATAAAACGGGATAAAAACCTACGTCATGACGACGTTCTCTTAACAACAATACATCGTGGATTATAAATACTCGGACGCGGAGCCCGTGGCATTCACACACATACACACATACACACACACACACGCATGCACATACACAATTCACATACTCATTGCTTACACACACTTATGTATATATTAATAAAATACGCAGTGATGAAGTACAAAAAGTGTACACACATACGTGGACATTCGCTTCCGTGTTCTGATAAACACAACCATATTAAGAGCTTTGTACGAAAATAAAAATATTTTTTAAATTAAAGTTCAGCAATTGCGCATTTCATATTTTATTAAATACACGATCTAATATATTAGTATATTATATTAATAATTACATGTGTTTACGTTTCGCCGCACTACACACATTTTCATAAAATACCGTAAGAAAAAAACGTATGCATTATAAGTTCGAATCTCAAAATTGCTCTTCAGATCGTCAAAAATTTAGTGACGATTACTGTCGAACGGCCATAAATAAATAAAATATTCTAGATAAAGTTAATAGACCGCGATTATGTTTACCTACTCTATTAAATTTACAATTACACGTAATTATCGTAAACACGGAGACCTGTTTAACCGTACATAGTAATGATTAGGTACATGGTATAATGTACATGATAAGTTAATAATTATAATTAGGCATGACATTAATATCTTGTGTTCGTCATAATTTATTTTTTTTTATCTATTTTTATAATAATTAAAATAAAATAAATAAATTATTAAATAATTATTAATTCAACCATAATTTTATTTAATTGCAAGCATAAATTAGAATGCGGCTTTTTATTTATTTTCATAAAACTATACTATTTATAATAATGTTATTTATTACGTTATTTCCTATCATGTTTACAACATACTACAGTAACATACTACATGTTGTGATGACACATCCGTCGGTAGTCTTAAATGTTCTCGAGTTATATGTTTTAACTAAATATGATAAACGTAAAAAAAAACAATTTACCACAACAAATTACACAGTAACAGAGGGAGTACTTTAATATAATATTTATATATATATATATATATATATATTCATCGGTTTTATTTTTAATATTATTTAATAACTTACAGTAATAAAATAAGATGGTTGTTTTATTATGTTGAAAAACGACATGACAACACCATGGTACTGATAATAGAAATGTCGAATGGCCGTGAGGAATAAGCATTATTAATTGTTATACATATATTTCTTAAGTGTTATTGAACTTAACATTTCTCTGAATTGTCAAGCACTTGAATAACTGCAGATTATCGATTTATGTATATTCTATTATTTCGTATTATCATATTTTAATGACATTCTGTTGTCTAATAATATGTGAATTATGATTAACAACTAAAATATGAAATTTGCAAATGTGAAATATAATCATTATATATTGTTGAAATAACTTCATAATAAATAAAATAAATTAATAATGTTAGTATTTACTGTGTACAATGAACTAAGTACAAACATCAAATAATAAATGCATGAATGTTATTAATTATTAACGTTAATAAACACTACTGTTAACATAATAAAAATATTTTTAAGCTTTACAAGTTAATTTTTATGAAAAATTTGCAACAAAATTTACCTAATGCTCATAAAAAAATGTTATGAAATTTGAAAAACACTAATTATGTATTTATAACGTTTTAATATGATTAATACGTAAATATATTAATTTACTTTGTATTCCTAATATAAACTGTTAACAATATTTATTTTTCTTAGTTCCTACAAAAAATTTAAATAATTTTGAAAAATTATATACTACAATTAAGATATATCTAAAAAATTAAAAATTAAATTTTACAAATAAATTATTGTTATCTAACGCTCAGTGGCGTAGCCAGGATTTTTAAATAGGGGGGGGGGCTAACCACTTTTTTTGGATAAGTAAGGTAAGAGAGGATATGAGAA